CTCGTAATTAACCATCCTACATTCAGTATCTTTTTAATATTACGAGGGGTTGATCGTCCTGCCCCCTTTTATAATCTGGCGGGGGGCAATATCACTATCCTTTTTGACGCCGAAAACTTGACCTCAGTACATAGACTGAACACCGCCTGCCTGAATGTGTATATTGTGGATCTTGACAGGTACTCGTTCGGTGTATAATCATAGCGGGTAGACCTTCCTTTAAGAAGTGACGTACAGGCATATAGATGTACTGCTCGTTCTATCTTTAAATTGGCGACATCTATTTTCTGCCACTTGGCTATCAATCATATGAAGAAATGAGGCCAAATTTCGGCGTGAGAGGGATAACGTGGCTTGTATTTGCATGATCTTTTATATGTAGGGGCAACCGGCAGAATATATTTAAACTGCGCGCTTGTGTTTGGGTCCATGGTCAGTGCTGTGGGACTACTCGCTTGCAAGAAGCTATTCAGTAGCCTATTAAGTAGTATATTTCTGCAATATTTTGCTTTTTACTCACCCCTTAGACTTTCAACGTGCTACGCTTCATTCTATTTCGTCTAGTCTCAATTATATTGTTATAGAAGGAGGGGCTCAGTTCATTTCCTATAATAGGACACTCACTGGGTCTTTCGTCCCTGCTAACAAGGGCCAATCGACGTGTCGACGCTCTCATACCTTCGGGCCTTATAAATACTCGCCTATGAGGATAAGGACTTACCCTCCATGGGATCATAACCCCCTGAGCTTTGAACACGAACATAACGGCAATATTCGAGCCACATAAATTATTGATCCAGTGCTCCAAATTCATCCTACAATTATCGAGTGCTGACTATGGGTGGATTGGCGAGATCTTCTACGCTCGTTGAGGCTGCACCAACAATGCCATCACTAATCTTAGCTTCACCATAGCACGATTGGAGTGCTCCAAGAATGTGGAACGTTGTGGGCAGTTCAAGTACTGTGAGTGGACATTTGTTGGCGAACCTAGTGTGAATGTAACTACTGCATGAGTATCACGCATGAGCGACCAGCCAATTGACCGGAACGATAGTCAAGACACGGGCTCATTCTACTCAATCAGAGGCGGCGAACACATGTAGGCTCCGAACGATCGCAAAAGCAATTCATTTCACTTTCAGGTGCCTTATAATTATTCCAGCGATGGAGGTTGCGCCTTTGACTTTGCATAATATGTCGAGATATTTAAACCTTTTAGCTGAAGCGAAAAGTTGCTTATGAAAGAAAACCTAAGGAACCAGAGTTTGCCATTTACGTACACTTTCAGGTTTAAAAATGGAATTGCGACAGCATTGTTTAACATCGGCACCCCTATGGGCAGCGTCACATTCGCTTTTCATAGGAAGCGTAAGGACGAGAATGACGAGGTTTTGGCACTAACAAATTATTGGGGCCAATCAACTGCTATCAGGCTCACTGATCCGGATGAGACCACACAGCCTGAATTTACCTCCTTTACCAATTGCTCCGAGCTCGAGTGAAAGGAAAATCAACGCGGACAATGGGATGTAGCTTCAGAGTCAATTCGATAGTTTGCGATATCGGGAGAAACAATTCTTTCCATACTGGGCGGAGGGCTCATAGCGTTAATTCTAAATTGACCATTGCATTTACTATCCTCAAGCTATGTTTTCATAATGAAGACCTATTATCGTAAGCAATGTAGAGACTAGGGAGATAATACATAATTAGTAACTAAATTATTACAATTTACTGAGTGGCTGTAAAACGTAATCAATACACGCTTCTTAGTGCCTTATAAGTAAGAAGAGCTGTGATAGATTCATCAATAGATTAAGGGGTAAGTTAGGATCGAAAGTCGCGCCTTACTGCTAGCTACGTAAGCAGAACAGGGACGATCCATATATTAGTATGATGGAATGTGAACAGAGTTTCGAGAAGCGAAATGTTAAATCATATATTAATAGTAAGCAAATTAGCTTTTTAGTCACTTTACTTACTAACGAGAGCATAATCTGAATTAGGATCCAGAATCGGCTGTCCTACCTCGAAGCTTCTTATTTGAACTAAGAAATGATCGTAGTAGCCCGACTATAAGGTTCAAATGCCCCGGGAAGTTTCTGAGGGGTACGATTATACTGAAGTAGCTTTCCGATATTATTATAGTTTAGCTAGCATTAAGTTTCACGCCGACATGTCCGAGTTAACCTTAGCCCTGAACCTCGAATCATTTATAGCTTAACTAATACGAAGTCGTGTTTCAGGTCATAAAGCCAAACTATAACACTTGTACTTATTATGAAAGCTCTCTCTCTATCTATATAAAGGTCCCCCCCCTTCACGTTATTCTCACTTCTTTTCCTCACCCACTACAGCTTCAGTCTAGTCTTCCTATCAGCTTGCAAAGTCTACACTTAAAAAAACCACACCCAAAACCTCACAATGAAGACGTTCACTCTCGCCGCTGTCATTAGCCTTGTTGCTACTTCGATGGCTTGCCTCGACCCCATCTATCCTGGCGCGAAGGGTTTCTCGAACATCGGATCCGACGCTAAGACCTTTACGCCTGGTAACAAGGCTTATCCCCTCAAGTTTGCAAACCTCGCTACGCTTACCGTTGCCATCAAGGGCAGCCCGGAAAATGTCGATCTTGTCGTGGAGCCTATCCACTACAAAAAGCTTGATATTAAGATCACTCAGACGGATAATTCTGGCAAACCCATCCTTCAGTGGCACTTGAATGGCCAGGGCACGACGTTGAAGGAGTGCCTGGATATTAGCAAACACGGTCATGGGGGCAAGTTCTACACCGAGATTGAGGAGAAGAACTAAGGCGTAGCACTGTTGATGGGTCGGTGCATCTGAAGGCTCTATAGTTTTTATCCGGGGGGTGCTTAGATTTAGATACAGAGCCTCAACGGTTTCTATAGTCTATTATGAAGATGCCTGATTTACGAAACCTCCGTTCATATCTAGTTTGCATGACTCTTAAGAAAGAACACGACAAGGCTCATTCCATGGCCTTTTGATTTGACCTCATAGCACGTAAGACCCAAACTACCTGGGAGTCAGCACTAATTCATCGGAACCTTACTTTAGTACTTACGGGAGGCGAAAGCCGCAATGTACGCCAGGCCGGCTAGAAGTTGGACGCCGAGGTAGCTATCACCGCCCCGTCCTTGCCCCTTGATAGCGAGAGCAATGGGCTGGGCAAGAAGAGTTGGTATAGAGAGAACTGTCCAGAAGATAGAAAGCGCCGACGGAAGGAGTGGAAGCCCGACGACTTCAGCGCCCACAGCCGCCACCGTGGGCCAAAGACAGCCGGCTAGAGCACCACAAAGCGCGTAAACGATGAGACCGGCGAAGTACTTTCCGGCAAAAACCCAAATGAATAACGTTGTTAAACCAGCAAGTAAGGTACTGATTCCGGCGACGTTGAAGCGGCCCCATCGATCATTCGACAGGCCTATAATGGGATGGCCAATACCCTGCCCGACTGCAGTTTGTCAGCGTCTTCCGCATAGTCATATTATTGATTGGCATTCTCACGATTCATAAGGGCCGCGGCCAGGGATGCCTGACTCGTTGTAAACCCTACACTCTGGCCGAAGTCGGCGAGAGAGAAGATAACAATGGTGTAGCCGATTAGGCTGAAAAATCCCCACGACAAGAAAAGAAGATAATCTTTCCTTTTGAGTAGCGCCCAACGAAATGCAGAGAGTACTGTACCGACGCTTTTGTTTCTATCGCGCAGAGAATGCAGCAAAGGCCGTTGACGACAAGTGTTAAAATGGCAAGAATACGAAATGTCCAAGCCAAGCCGACACTTTGAATGGCCGCGTTTGTGGCGAGAGAATATGTCAAGCCACCAAAACCTGAACCACAGGTTGATAATGAGTTTGCAAATGATCGGCGTTTGTCGAAGTATTGGGAGATGATCGATACTGTAGAGTTAAAAGATAACCCGACGCCTAGACCGAAGAAGACGCCCTGCGTAAGCACGAGGTGCCATATCTGGGATTGGAATGAGGCGCCCAACAGAGCACTGGTCTGGATGATGACTCCCAGCGCCAGTGTAGATCTGGATCCGAATGAGCGGACTGACAGAGTGACAGGGGTGCAGTCATGAGAGCTGGCAGCGTCAGAGATAAAATGATCGAGTACTACCTCAGATCTGACATACCGAGAGCAAAAAGCAAGCCCGCCCAATGAAACGCAAAACCGATCCGGACTCGTGTTGCTGAAATGAACTCGACTTTAAATAATACGCAAGAAAAGACGGCGAAGGACTGTGATTCCACCGTGAGTCAGGTTGGCATAGTCTTCTGCTGGGCTATGCATCCCTACCGCATTCAGGCCCCAGGTGTGCATGTTGATGAACGCTACGCACATGACGATGACCCTGATCCTCAATCAGCAAGAAGTTAAAATCTTGTATAAATAACCATACCATCCATAACCACCCTCCTGAAACTCTTTCTTAGAGGTTTCGACACCGTCTGCATGGAACTGAGGCTTATCTGTAGTCGCTTCATTGACGGCCAATACGCCGTGACGAACCTGCATGTCATTTGGCGCCATACTGCAAGAATTAGGTATCATGCGATCAGTGATAAGGAGAAACGATAGGTGACCTCGCCAATGGAGCTGCCCGCATGATGATGTGTTCTGGGCAAGGTTTTGTTCTCACGCGAAATTTTCATGTTGGCTGCTGGCTTGCGACCTTCCTAAAATGGGCTCACGAACCCAAAAGGGGCCGCCGCTGCGGGGCACATAACGGGCGCAACCGGCCGGCCGGCTTGTGGGTCGGAGGCAGCCCCCGTTCGCTTTATGCATCTAGCTGGCCATCTTGAGAACAGTTTGTCGCTAGAAAGGCAGCATATAATCTCCCCGCCAGACACCGCGATGACATCCAAAGATTCATGCCGACTCATGAACTTAAGCCCACTAGTATAAGATTCATTAAAAGCGCTTGCCAGCCCTCTATGTACTGTCTGCTCAAGGCAGTCACGGCTGATCATGAGTGATAGACGACCATGAAGGGGTATTCAGGTTTCGGAATGCACGAACAGATCAATTTGGTCGAGGGAACCGTGGGCTTGACGTTTTAAGCTTAGAAGCTCTTTGCAATCGACGGTCGCCGCCGCGGTCGGGGTAATGACCAAGTATACCCGATATTGGAAAGCGGTCAGAGATTCTTTCTATGAGGCCATTGTTATGAACGATCATGAGTACTTCTCGAACCCGGCAATTTTGCTCAGTACCAGAGTTATGAGGCACAAATGAAGGTTCTGTCTGCAATCCATATACATATTGGCCGCGTATTGATTTGTGCTGCAACGTGAAGACTGCTTTGCACTAGCATTATGCTCTTTACTGAGAAGAGCGCATACTGTTTCTTCGTACTTCAAGGGTGGCAATGGTTCAAATTCCAAAAGGAGGGATAGGAGAGAGGTCAAGTCCATATTTTCAGGGTTACGAATACACGCAGAGACTTGGCAGTGTCTTTCCTGAGTCGGTTACCATCAAAGCTGCAATCACCCGGCTCCATTAGTGTTTCCATCAGCCTTGAAACTTTCAGCCTCACTCTTCACTACAGGATCAAGCGATAAACTGTAGATGCCTTGACAGATTTTCCTCAGTCGATTGAATCATCGGGAAAGGCAAAAGAATTCTCAGAGAACTCAATCCTGCCCACCGAGACGTCATTGCCAACTTCAAAAAGACAGGGCTGTGCTGTAAACCTACCATGTAACACACAAACAACCGAAGACAAAAAGTACGGCAGTTTGTTCTAGTCAGACTTCGAATAGGGCCTTCAGTTCCTTTTCCAGTCGCTCTGGAAGGGTTACTTTAGGATGATGGATTGCCAGCTGTATGGCTTTTTGGCTTCGCCGGTAGTACGCTTAATCTGCTGTCATGGATGGGAATTAAGACGCAGGATCCCGAAGGTTCCTCGGGGTCTCCCACACGATAACAGACCCCAGTTCGTGTATACGGAGCAAATATGATTGTTAGCACCTCCCAGCTGCTTGCTTAGGTTCTTCCGGGTCTGATATCTTCGAATCCCAGGGTAAATCTAACGCTGTGTCAACTTGATTCTAATTTGGACCTAGAGCCAAGACCAAGATTCAACCTGTCCGCAGTATTGGCGATTTCAGGCCCACAGGACTCTGTTATCCTTATGTTTAGAGAGCTCATGACTTTTATTCTCAGTCGGCAGCATTCTATCAGGGGATGTTCCCGAACATGAAGCATGTCAGAGTCGAGTCTGTTGGAGGTCAAGGGTCTGAGAAGAAAGGTGTTGTTGCATTAGGAAGCCATTCTGCAGGCAGGAGGGTGCCTGGAACTACCTAAGCTATGGGGGCTGCCAGGGCACAGGCCACCTGGCGACAGGTGGACGACACTGAGTGAATGCCCTGGAAGCCCCAGGCGAAAACCGCCAACAGAGTCTAGTACCTTGGTCGGTCCAATAATGAAGCGACCTTTCACCCAGAGAAATGCCGCCCACCAACGACAATGGAACCAGTCGACCGACATGCCAAGTCATGTACCAATCAAACAGGTCGCTTGCCGCATCCAATCCCCATTCATGCGGGGTAAAGAATTCTGTCGTGTGGGGCTTTCCAAGACATCGTTGCATCAATGCAAACATCCATCCACGCATGACCTCGTTCGTCACAACTCAGACTCAATCCCGCCCCCCCCCGGCCAACCCTCGCCTTGAATCGGGCTGCCCTTAAAGGCGGAAGTCATGATCCTTCCTATTGACGACACAGTGAGAACCGCCGTTTCCGATACGACGCCGAGTCGACACAGGATGTCGTCCCACGGTCTCCAACCAAGGAACCTGCGCCGGATGTGGACCACGGACGAGGATGACAGTCTAAGGGCCATGGTGCAGCGTTATGGGGATGCCCGCGGATCACACAGCCGTTGGAAAGAAATATCCGCCAACTGTCCTGGCCGTACTCCAAAAGACTGTCGCAAACGCTGGTTTCATTCCCTCCATCCATCACTCCGTAAGGGGCGTTGGACAGAACAAGAAGATCGAGTTCTATTAGCAGCTCATGCACGACTCGGACCTGCCTGGCACGACATTGCCCTTATGATTCCAGGCCGGAAAGACGACCAGTGCTCTAAGCGATACAATGAGATCTTAGATCCATCAGCCAAAACCAGGCTCAGGCAGTGGACACACGAGGAAGATAATGTTCTTACAGAAGGCGTCATGTCACTTGGACACAGGTGGTCCGCAATATCTTCTCGACTCAACAAGCGACCACCTCTGACATGCCGCAATCGATGGAGGCATCTATCAGATCCCAGCCGCTCGGGTCGCGCTGCGCTATCAAGCGAAGAAAATAAACCCAATGTCACATTGGAGACCATTGAGTCGCCAGTAACGGATTCCACAGAATGCAACGCGAGGCGGAACACCACGAATCAGAATTCAGTTCACCGCACCAACGTCATTGGTGTTCTTCCTTTTTCTTATAATTCCGAATCGCTGCTTACCGCAGGATTGCGCGAATCGGAATGTCTTGAAAGCTCTGCCTTGGACTTTCAGCAGCTGATAGACGAATACCCGGAGCCTTCGAGCGGTGACCAAAGCATATCTCATGCACCACATTCAAGAGTTACGGATGCTGGGCTTGTCCTCCCAAATCGACTCGAATCATCAGAGCTCACGGCCGGGCCGCAAGAGAGCCTGCATCTTACTACTCGGCATGTCACTGGGAGTATGGCGGCTAACTCGAATATATATTCAGCAGGGGACTTGTGCGCTGCACAATCAGTTTCACTTTCCGAGCTTCAAAGTACCAGTATCCTCCCTCCCACTAATCTGAGTGGGAGTACCTGGAGCTACCAGCATAACTTCGCCGCTGCGGCGGACGGCTCAAATATCCAGATCAGCCATGATCAGAGCTCGTCTGGTTTCACTCATCACCACCACTACCATCATCATTATCATCATCATCACTATCACCACTACCACCCATTACTACCATCAACCAGGTGGTTTAGATCAGCCGAATGCATCGGAAATAGCCACCGATGTTCGGAGTGGTGCAGATTTGAGCGCTATTGTGAGTTGAGATTCGGGGAGAACAATAGTGTTAGCTTAAGGCTTGTGCTATGAAGCGGGCTAAAGAATAGCGATCCAATGTTTTGGCGATCAAGGCAAAAGGTTTGCTCTTCGTAATCAGCATTATCCCAGGTTGGAGAAAGTGACCCCCTTATTGGGGGTTGGCATGAAGATTGCTGTTCAGGGATGAACAACATCGCTTTATACAGCGGTAGGAGACTGATTTTCTACGGCAGTATCGTTAGTCCCGGCTACTTCGCTAGCAAGACGAATGTCTCCTTAATGGCAACCCAGCCGGCCTACCGATCGCTGACATCAGAATACCTCTATGGGCTGTGATGAAATGGGGCCCGCTGGTGTCAGCCGGCAAGATGGACGGGCGAACAGGTAGGGGATTCGTGCTCGTTTGTCTTCGTTCAGAGCCCAGCCCCACAGCTCGAAAGAAGAGGCGACTTAGGAGGCTCGGTGTGTCGAATCTTGTATTGCAAGGTGTCTCCTACTTAAATTTTCTATGCTACAGTTCTGTTTCAGTTCCACAATGTATCTAATATAACTCTGTTCTTGCCCGTTCGGTAACACTTTTGTCTTTCTCTACCTTTTCGCTTATGGTCTGCTTCTCCCACATGGCATAATACTTTCCTCTCAACGCAAGTAAGTCGTCGTGAGTGCCGCATTCGGCGATTTCCCCTTGATGAAGCACAATGATCTGGTCTGATGTCGTGATGGTAGACAGACGGTGTCTACTGGGAGTCAGTTTTGGAACAAAGTTAAACGAGTTGTAGACTGACGCAATTGTTATGGTTGTCCGACCTGATGTGACTTTTTCCAGAGCATCTTGAATCTGTCTCTCGGTATGTGAGTCAAGGGAAGCTGTTGCCTCATCCAACAGCAAAATGCGGGCGTCCTTAAGTATAGCTCTCGCAATGGCAACCTATAGAATTTAGTATGCATTCAATATGAAGGGACCAAGAACTGACCCGCTGGCGTTCTCCCCCAGAGAGCTTCAGCCCGCGCTCCCCGACCTTGGTGTCGTATCCATCAGGGAAGGCGAGAATTCGTTCGTGGATGTTGGCCGCTCTGCACGCCGCGTACACATCGGCCTCTGTGGCTTCAGACTTAGCATAGAGGAGGTTGTACATTATGCTAGCATTGAACAAAACAGTGTCTTGTGGGACAACGCCGATGTTCCAGCGAAGGCTGTCAAGCTTGAGGTCCTTGATGTCGTGTCCATCAACGGTGATGGAGCCACTCGATACGTCATAGAAGCGATAGAGAAGCCGCAGGCAAGTTGATTTGCCACTACCAGATTCCCCCACAATAGCGGTTTTGGTTCCTGGAGCCACAGTAAAGCTGATGCCTTGCAATACAGGCTCACCTTTCTTGGTTTGATACGAAAAACCTACTTCATTAAAGGAAATTGCACCACGAGGTTGAGGCAGCGTGACAGCATCTTTCTTCTCAATAACCCCTGCCGTTTCCTGAAACTACGCGCCAAATTAGCAGCACATCAGTGTTTGAGGGGAGGATAAAATACCAAGTCGAGGAGCCTCTCAGCTTCGATGAGATTATTCTGCAACATGTTGTAGTAGGTTCCAAAGAAGTTGAGGGGACCCTGAAGTTGAACAAAGTAATTGATGAGGCTGACAAAGTCGCCGACAGACTGCTCGCCAATAGAGATTTTGTAAGCAGAGACGCCGACGAGAAGGGCCGTTCCCAGTGTGAAAATTGAGCTTTGTGTGAGATTTAGCCCATTAAGAGACCACTGAACCAAGCGCTCTGCTCGCTGGAAGACGACAACATGTTCTCTGAATCTTTGCGTCTCCCGAGACACTGCACAATTGTGCTGCACCGTCTCGTACGCAAGGATGGCATCCGTCTTGACAGCTTCCATCTCACGCGTCTTTGTCGTCATGTCGCGTCTCTGCCGGCCGCGGTACTTGGCCACGTAGATGGTCAAGAAGATGTAGGACCACATGATGAAGAAGACGATAATGGTGTAAAAAGCGTCGTACTTGATGAAAAAGATGACGCCAGCAACGAAGATGTCAAACACCATCGGAAATACCTGGAAGCAGAAGCTTTCGAGGAAAGTATTGATCGCGGCTCCCCTGCTCAGCGCACTCGTTACCTCGCCGATCTTCTTATTCAGATGAAACTCCAGCGAAAGGCCCAGAACGTGTTCAAAGGCAGCGGTAGATAACCGGCGGAAGAGGGATTGAGACACAGGGATCCAAAGAACGGAGCGAGCTGCGCCAATGGCACCTTGATTCCCCTGCAGGGCGCGGTAGACGACATAAAGTATGATCTCTTTATACGGCAGACGACCCTTTCCCAGTGAGTCCACCAGGACTCCGAGCTGAAGTGGAGCTAGGACGTTGATAGTGCGTTGACAAAGTAGGAGGAGCATGCAGAAGACTACAATTAGTTGATACGTTGGCGAGTCTTTGGGCCTGTGTCTATTAGCGAGGTTGGGCCGAAGGGTTGTCTTTTTACCTACCATAGATACGGGAACAGAACTTTGAAGCCCGCAAAGTAGTCAAGCCAGCCAGTTCCTGACACTTGGGTCCGTTTGGCTGACCTTGATGGCGTGTTTGGGACACTGCCGTAGCCATTGTCATTGCCATTTGCCAGGAGAGACTGCCGCTCATCGGCGGCCGACGCCACATGCAAGGGATAAATCCTGTAGTCCCTAACACACAGAGTTGCAGTCATGAGTACAAGAATCGCAATCCTAGTCAAGCTGAGACCCTCGATACTGTTAACGAAGCCTTTGGATACTCGCAGTGAGTCTTGGCCAGCGGCGAGGGTAGCGGTGATTACAACCTCTGACAATGCACCCACTACCCATGCAAGCCTATGTGGGCTGCCGGGAGACCAAGGCCCCTCCGGATCAGGCAGAAGACCGGACAAGAAGTAAAGTAAGACTCCAACATGGGAAGCCTGCGATCTTTGTCAATAAGACACTCAAAGGCAAGTCTCGGAAGTGGACCAACCAAATACGCGCTGAAGCCGAAGTCAATCCTGCCGTGAAAATCTTGTCGGGTAGCGACCGCTTCTCGCACCACAAGAATAATGCTTGATAGAAGTAGTAAGCCAAGAATCAGTTGAAGGAGCCAGATGACACGCGCGTGTGATCGCTTCAGGCCTTCGATGTCATGCTTGGTGGCCTCGCCTCGAAGCGCGAGGTGACGCGTTTCGCGGTTTCGATTGCGAAAGTATTGAAAGAATTGGGCTCCTAGCAGTGCCACAAACAGGAGACAAGGATACGCATAGAATGCGATTCTGAGCGCCAACTCTGCGCTCGCCATTGCGTAGATTTCTGATGTTTGTCTCATGGGTTCCGAGGTGCTCGTCCGGTATCACTGTCGACGCAGGCTTGGGCATGCCCGAAATTTAAGCAATCATGAGACATGACTAAGCATCTGGTTGGTACTGTGCCCATGACGCATTGACCCAG